AATAATAATAATAATAATAATAATAATAATAATAATAGTAAAGTTTTCAAGTAAATTATTTGACCATGATCCCTCCAAATTATAAAAAATACATTACCCACAATTTTTTTTTAATCAATATAGTGATTCATATGTACTCAAATAGTTTATATAAATATTATTTTATTTTTACTAATGATTAAATCTTGAAAATGTGGTATGTCCATTATCTAGAATTTTAATATTAAATTCACATATCTTGAAAATGTGATATGTTTATTTTCTAGAATTTTAATATTAAATTCACATATCTTGGAAATGTGATATGTTTATCATCTATAATTTTAATATTAAATTCACACATATTATTTATAATATTATATGTACATCTGTGCATGTGCACAGGATGATAACTAGTTAAGTTTAACTACCGGACTACAAAATGAGGCATGCCAATTGCCACGTATACACCATGCATCATCATAAGATTTTATTCAAACTGTCACAATGTAACAGTTGCGAATGGAACCCCACACTAGGGTTGTAAACAAATCGAATCAAAGCGAATACTCAGAGATTCGATTCGATTCGTTTAAAATATTCGAAGATTCGATTCGTGATTCGATTCGATAACGAATTCATTTTTTGATTCGTATTCGATTCGTTTAGAATATTCGAACATATTCGATTCGATTCGAAATTCGTTTTTAAAAAATATTATAATAAAAAAATATTATAATTACAAAAATAAATTTTATTTTCCATGTATTTTTAGAAAATTTAGTTAATTTATGATGTTTTTACTTTTTATGTCATAAAAATATTAGGAATATAACAATATATATATATATACATATATTATAAACAAAATGTATATTATATATAATTTGTATAAAAATATTATAATTAATAAATATTATAATTACAAAAATAAATTTTATTTTTCATATATTTTAGAAAAATTTGTTAATTTAGGATTTTTTTACTTTTTACGTCATAAAAATATTAGAAATATAACAACATATATATACATATATTATAAACAAAATGTATATTATATATAATTTGTAAAATTTATATAATTATTGTTAGCGAATCGAATTTCGAATCGAATATCTACACATTCGAATTCGAATTCGTTATAATTTCGAATCTAAAACATCATTCGAATTCGAATTCGAATTCAAATTCGTTATAATTTCGAATCTAAAACATCATTCGAATTCGAATTCGAATATTTCGAATTCGAATCACGAATTAACGAATCGAATCACTAATCGAATCAAAATGGTTTGATTTGTTTACAACCCTACTCCATACTCTGCCACCCGTCTTTGTCCTATTGGACACCTGTGCTGTGACTGGTCGGTCTTGCAATAATGCCAGTACAAATAGTCATTGATTTTTTATCCACATTTCAAACCTTCGGATCGCTGACGTGTAGTGATTATCCTCTTTTTTGAATAAATAATCCCAAGGTACCTTATCTACGTGCCAGCTTCCCTTACCATCTTTTGCACACGATAACGTGAACAAAATCATTCCATCGAAGTTTATAACTATTAGATCAATTATTTCACAATTATCTCTAACAGTTACATTATGATTTAATGATTGTAAACCCGACAAAATAATTCCATAACAGAACCTTAAGCATGTCTCCAAAATTGTTTTCCACGCACTTCCTATTTTTAAAAATTTGTATATGTCTATTTATATTATAATTATAATTATTTATCTAGTTTTTTCAGTCCTTTATGACAAATTAATATTTAACACATGTTATGTTTAATAAAACTAGTTGGTAACTTATATACTAACTTACAGACTATTAGTAATTTTCAAACTTATACTTATATCTTATGACTTATAACTGAAAGATAGCTTATATGATAAAAAATGTCTAATAAAATTTGCTGATAAGCTAACAACGAGCTTATTTGAAAAACTATCCAAAGAAGCATGTGAGATAAACTCGAACTTTTTGAAAAAGCCAATTTGGTAACGAAGTTTATTTAAATACATAAAACTTATAAGCTAACTAAAAAAGCTATAAGCTAACTTATTTGTCTGTCAAAACATAACCATAATACAACTAGTCTTAACCATTGAAAACCAATTCTCTACGTTGTAGATATCAAAATAAGACGATGTAACATTAGTAATGCTCTAGTTCATCAAAAGCCCATCTAGTTCATCAAAAGCCCAACATAACATAGCAATGGAAACATCAGCACCAACTCAAAAACTCTTTACTGAAAAAAGATGGGCATAAATATCAATGTTGGGAACCAGAACGACTATTCAATGCAGTTTTTAGTGTAAGAAATTCGTTTCAATTGACAGAAAGTGGATTTTGGTGCATTGCAGAGTGATTCGATTTGAAAAACTTCACGACTTTTGTTCAATTCGGTGTGGTGTTGCACCGAATCATATCATTGCACACAAAAAAAGGCTAGCTTTTCAAATCTGAAAACATTCTCAGCTAGTTCAGCAACTATTAAAAGCACAATAAGAAACCATCAAACAATTCAAACAAAGCCAAGTAAGAAACTGTCCACGACAAAATTCTACAGACCTTTTTTTCCAAGCAAAACAAAGAATCGGACAAATAAAAAGGCATACTAAGCTCCAATATTGGATGCCTTGTTAAGAATGACACCTTCGTATTTCACCTGGAACCACTTCATGGCATCCTCCTTTGTAACCCTGTGCTGGATCCCGACTCGCGACTTGCACCTACGTCGACGGCCCACACGATAACCGGGCCTCTCTAAGACAACATAGAAATCCATACCGTAGATACCGGTTGACGGGTCGTACCTGAAAGCATTCAATAGCCACAAAAACAGATACGAAAGGTTATATATCTTGATCTGCTATGAAACTGCAGTCTTTTGCTTTAAAACGGCAGTCTTTGTACAATTGGTTAATTATTTCCTGTTAAAATTAACTTAGGAAGTTTAGGGCGTGCTTGAATATAAATATATCCGCTCAAATCGAGTTCATATTTTAACGTTGATTTGACGTAAAAGTAAGAAAATTGATGTGAAATGATGGTTAGTTAAAATTACGAGATTGAATGAATAGTGAAATAAAGTTGATGTGATGTGCAAGAATGATTAATTAATATCATTTAATTATATTGATAATATTGGAGATAGTGAAGTTGGGTTAAAGTTGAGTTAGATTTTGAGTATGAATTGAGTACGGATACAAACACACCTTTAACAGTGAGGTAGAATTTCAACATTTTAATTTACATAAAATAGTGATTTTTTTAACCAAGGCAGGCAAATAAGAGTTGCATACTTTATGCCGAGATCAATGTGCTCCTGAATGCCGAAACCAAAGCATCCAGTATCACTAAAGTTTCTTCGCAGCAACTCGTATTCCTTCACCTTCAAGCCGCTTTCAAGGAGTTGCATTGCCTTGTCACCTCTAACAGTGACATAGCAAGCAATCTTCTCGTTTCTCCTGATTCCAAACGACCTTACAGTGTACCTCGCTGTCATTTTAAAGGCATAACCATATGAGTAATGTAGTAACTTGGGTGTCATCCAGTGTATGCATATACTTCTGTTTTGGACAAGTAACATAAAGGGTAAGCTTGTAGAAGTTGTTCAGAGTTCAGACAATCACTTCTCTTCCATCATGTACGAGGCTTAAGTGAAGGAAAAGCTACATTTTGCAATGTGCAAAAATTATGACAATACCATATTCAGATACAGGATACAGTATTTCAGTGAGTGGGAGCAACATTGGACTTGAATTATGAATATCCTCTCTAGGAGACCAAACTTCCATCATGACCCAAGAATGTATCAAAAAACCCAATTCATTTCAATTAAGTTTTACCCTCCATCACTTTTTCCGACTCGTATTACTTGAGTTTTACTACAATGGTTAGCACCGAAATGAGGTGCTCAGAACATATAACAAATATAAAGCTCAACCAAGCATTTCCTTTCATAATTCAAAACTTAAAACAGCCACACACACACCATGATGGCTTCTGGCACTCTAAAAGATATTTTAAACATCCAGTAAACGAATGCATTCAATGGAAACCTTACATTCACAAAGCAATTATACAGCAGATTGCATACTAAGACAAATTTCCACAGTTACTCATAAACAACATATTCTTCAATGCAAGAACATCGAGCAGCTTAATGCAAACAAACCATCTTCTTCACCATTCATTGCTAAAAAAATTAGATCTCCAATAACTTGAAATCTTACCTTTGGAGAAAACGGGTGTTTGCCCACTGAGTTGCTCCAACACCTGAGGAAATAACAACATTCAGTACAATGACTCAATATCAAAAAAAACGCAAATCAACAAGCAGCGCGTGGACATGAAAAACGCGAGTGATTGCACTTCATAGTTACCTTGGCAGCTCTGGTCAGACGGTCACCGCTTTCTCCGACGGAGATGTTGAGTACGAGCTTCTGAACCTTGATCTCCCTCATCGGATTTGAGAGCTTCTTCTCTGAGGCCTGAATTTCAGATGCAAAACAAAACCATGAGCATCAGACCACGCGTAAATTAATGGTGTATTGATTAAACGGATAGGAGAGCTAAAGTGTTAGTGTTAGAACTAAAGATCTTACCATGGCGGACGGTGGTTGTCGGCGAAGGCTCGGCGGCGGAAGGGTTTTTGGCGAAAATGAAACGCATAGTGAGAGAATGAGCTGAATAAGTACGAGAAAAGCTAGGGCTCTTTCTTGTGTCCATCTCGCGATGAACGGACAATTATGCCCTCAGAGTTTGGACGTAACTGTGCAAGTAGGTGTATAAACGAACCGAGAGTTCTGTCTGAGTCATTTCGGCTCTGGAAAAATCGAGCTCAAGCTCGACTAGTTTATCACTATTAACAAGTCATATTCGAACTTATCAAGCCGATTTTGATCTTTAATGAACTGAACTATATATAAAAATAAGGGAAAAAATCTTTTTCACCCCAATACAAAGACACATTAAGTTTTTCACACCGTCCAATAAAAAGCAAAGTTTTTCACCTCAAAAAGTGCGAAGTGTAACAGCCCTGCCAACCCGTAGTGTGATATTGTCCGCTTTGGGCACTCTCACCCTCACGGTTTTGCCTTTGGGAGCTAGCTCACCAAAACGCGTCACACTAGTGAAGGTATCCACAACCACTTATAAGGCATGTTTCATTCTCCTTCACAATCGATGTGGGATATCTGGATCCAACCCTCTTGGGGGCCCAGCGTCCTCGCCGGCACACCAGTCCGGGTACTGGCTCTGATACCATTGTAACAGCCCAGCCAATCCGTAGTGTGATATTGTCCGCTTTGGGCACTATCCAGATATTCCACATCAGTTGTGAAGGAGAACGAAGCATGCCTTATGAGTGGCTGTGGATACCTTCACTAGTGTGACGCGTTTTGGTGAGCTAGCTCCCAAAGGCAAAACCGTGAGGGTGAGAGTGCCCAAAGCGGACAATATCAACTACGGGTGAACTAGGCTGTTACACGAAGGTTATGCGAAAACTGTCGCATATTCATCGCATAACTGTCACATATAAGGTTATGCGAAAAACTGTCGCATATCAATTGCATAATTGTCGAATATTTATCACACAATGCCTTCGCACTTTAACTTTTTCCCCCACAGAAAGTGCGAACGGATATGCGAATGTCTTCGCACTTTCTTTCGCACAATGTCATCGTGCAATTGTCGCATATTCATCGCATAATGCTTTTCGCATTTTTATGGTGAAAAACTTAGTTTTTTATTGGACGGTGTGAAAAACTTAACAATACTTCAAAATGGGGTGAAAATAACTATTTTCACTAAAAATAATCTACCTACATAAAAAGCTTTAACGAGCTTTTAAAAGCTCGAGCTTATTTCATAAATTTCATCATGTTATTTTTTAAATAAGTCTGTTAAAATTCTATTCTAGCTAACTTAACAACTAATGTAACCAAACACTTTTATCATATAAGTTAACTTTTCAACCGTAAGTCACAAGCTATTAGCTATAAGCTCGAAAATCATTTATAAGCTATCAACTACTTATCTACTATGAACTAGTTTTACCAAACCTAACTTAATAAGCTATCAGCCAACTTATCAGTTTATTTTACCAAATATAACACAAGTAAAATTTGAGTTTATACCTAAATCAAGGATGATCTACATTGACATTGGGGAATGCTATTGTCCCCCCAAAATTTATCCAAGACGTGTATATATATTGCCGTTGAACTTATTTTTTTGTTTTGCTCTAAACTGAAAGAAAATGCAATAAATTATGCAAGCCATTTTACTCTTTACTTTTAGTTTATAAATCTTATAAGTTCTTTATGGACAACCTTTTATATTATTTAGACCTTGTTTGGTAATTAGCTGTTAGCTGTTAATTGTTAGCTGATTGTATTAACTGTTTTGACCAGTAGATTGCATTAGCTGTTTTGACCAGCTGATCATGTTAACGATTTGTTAAAAAGTGTTTGGTAAAATAACTTTTTTAATTAGCTGTTAACGTGTAAAATTACCTATAAGGACATCAACATACTTTATAATCCTAATTTATGTTGAACTTATAATTATTCAAGAAATTAAAATGATTTAAATATGAAAAAATATATAAATAATAATAAACTGAAAATATTTCATAATCGAGTAAATAAGTTCACGCTATATAAACAAGGCCAACAAGAAGTCATACTAATAGAGAATATAAATGTGGCTCAATTGCGATATTCGCTATTATAATTAAAAATTAAAAAAATAAAAGGAAAAAAAACAAATACTCTAAGAACGACGTCTAGATGCCATCAAACTTGAAGCAAATAAAAAATATATATTTGATCCAAACATTTAAATAAATACACACAATAGCTCTCTTGTAAGGAAATTGATGGCATACAGGCGTACATAAAATTCTAGTATTTGTAATAAGTATTTTATTTTTAACTCATATTCCACTTTTAAACAACTCATTGATAGAGTGTGCATCTGCCCATGGACTCCCTTATATTACATCACTTTCCACTCTTGTTAAACAAGCTCCTATATTTTTTTTTTCTTTTTTTTTTTCTAAAACGTGGAGAGAAAAATTAAGGACAATCAAGACTTTTATTAAAAAGTTGTGTTATCATCCGACTCGGCAAAACACCATTAAGAGGTTTTCAACATCATACTAAGTGCTGCTAAATATCGAACCGACGTGATCCATAACCATATTGGTCCACGAAATGAGACCAGTACGAACTACCAAAGACCGAAGTGGTCTATACCAACCGAGGTCTACATTGAACCGAGGTCGTCACCTCCTTAAGTAGGTGACAAGGCGCCTACACACTCCTCTCACACTCTACGAGGCTCATCATCATTCACATGGGGCCCACTGCTTCAAACCGCCCACCAAAAGCTGCTTTATGCGAAAAGTAGTACACGAATTCCAATATAGCCATCAAAAAAGTTACTATAAATAGATCACCCATAACACTTGTACGGGGATCCCCGAATTCATTTAACATGCAACACGTAAAAGCCCATCACGGCTCTTCACCTCGGTTCACCTCGGACCGGGGCCATCGTTGAACATTTTCTACATGCTTTACGTTCAAACTGATCATAATTATCGTCTTAATTACTTGTTATATCGTTGTTAGAAACCACATAACAACAGTTTGGCGCTAGAAGGAGGGCCTCATAAGTGATTTGAGGTTAATCTCCGCTTTTCCAAGTGACGATTTACACCAGCCATATCCACCATGTCTCATTCAGATCACCGTGGTCACACCTCACGAGACGGCCACAGTCGTAGCGCCGCGCAATCGGCCAGACGACAAGCCGTTGCCCCATATGTACCGGATTATGCTGTTCTGTTTCAAAATCCGGAGTTTGCGCGTGGTTTTGCCGCTCTAATGGCCCAAACGATGCCGGGAACATCAACAACTACTCCGGGACACTCTATCATCCCCACGACTCCCGCAAACCGGCAGAATCCACCAACGCGACACGACGGCGGAAGGACAACATCTCATGCTACATCTCAACCTCGTGATTGAATGTCGCAACCGCCTCCGGAACAAAATACGCATCGCACCGACGCAGGGCGCAATCCACCTATACTTCCTCAAGAAGAAACTGCCGAAAGCCAGTCAGGTCATTCACGACGATCACCGCCTCATGCACAGCGCCAAAATCCCTCCAACCCGGCGCAAACCGACCTTCGACAACATATTGAACGAAATCGGGCTCGTCAAGAGTCATCCGAACTTGAAACACTGCGACGAAGAATAGCCGAATTGGAAAGTCGACAACGGGCACCTGAAGATCCACCTCGGCGGGCCTCCACTTCGGTTCAAGTGTATTTGGAAGCCGATTCCCCCTTACTCCGGAGCTCACTTCGGAACCAGTACCTGGAAAAGTCAAGGTCCCTAGATCGGGCTATATGATGGAACATCTGACCCTGACTCGCACCTCGGTCATTATACTTCATGGATGGATCTGCATGGGGCCTCAGACGCACTTCGGTGTCGTATGTTTTCACTTAACTGGGGGCTCGGGCCCAAAAATGGTACCATTCTCTTCCTCTTCATTCAATTTGGAAGTGGCAACAACTGAGGTCGGCTTTCCGATCTCATTTCATCGGGCTCAAGTATGCCTTATCCCAAAAGAATCTCTTGCGAATATCACTCAAAAAGATGATGAAAGTGTCAAGGATTATATTGCCCGTTTCAATAACCGAGTTCAGAATATGGAACCTTGTCATTCTGAAACCTTGCTTGTCATGGCTATTGCTGGATTGAAACCGAATTCGATTTTCCGCTGGACACTATGCCAAAATAAACTGAACACTTTTCAAGAATTTCTCGCTCGAGCCCAGCAGCACATCATAGCGGAAGAAGCCATGTCTGTTCCCGATTTTAACTTCAACCCGAAGTCTTCTAAAGCGGGAACCGACGAAAAAAAGAAGAATAAATATTTCGACAAGCAAAGTAAGACTCAATTCAGGGGACCTCCCCGAGGAGACCCCAATGATCCTGAAGTTCGAGCTGCCCGTAAACAGTATGCAACCGATGTGAAGTCCGGTTATCAAACCGTGTATTCTGCAGGAGCAGCCACCATATATGAAGAAATCAAAGGGAAGGGCATCTTACCAGATCCCAAACCACTTCGGATGCCCGAAGAAAAACTGGATAAATCCCGATATTGTGATTATCATAAGTCGCCAGGGCACAACACGGACGAGTGTTTGAGTTTGTTAGCCGCATTGTTGCGTTTAATCGGCCATCCGCAGCTTAGAAAATTTTATCGTAATACCGATCCCCAGAGGCGAGGTCCTGGACGCCAGATCGAACCCTTTGATGATGAGGACGAAGAGGAGGACCGAGGTGCCATGCCAAAGCGCATTCGACAAGGAGACAAAGAAGTATTCATGTTCACCATTCGACAAGGAGACAAAGAAGTATTCATGTTCACCTCGAAGACATCCGATTCTAACTCTGCTGGAACTTCCCGAGGACGTAAACGAGACCGATCTCCTATACCGATGCAAATCACTGTCCACCGGGTGAATACCAATAATCCCCGGTGTACATTATCCCGTCGACAGGTCAAGGCATACGCCCGACAA